GATGGTGGTGATTATGATGCTGATGATGATGCTGATGATGGTGATGATCATGCTGATGCCGATGCTGCTGCTGATGCGGATGATGATGCGGATGCTGCTGATGATGCTGATGATGCTGATGATGATGAGGCTGAGGATGATGAGGCTGAGGATGAGGATGGGGAGGCGGATGAGGATGAAGATGATGAGGATGAGGCGGAGGAGGCGGGGCACGAGGCGGATAATGACGAGGAGTATGGGGAGGCGGAGGATGAGGAGTCGGAGAAAGATGAGGAGGAGGAGGGGGAATAAGGGAAGGAGGAGGAATATGATGCGGAGGGGGAGGAGGAAGAGGAGGATAATGAGAAAGAGGAGGATGAGGAGGAGGAGGACTGGGAGGAGGAGGAGAAAGAGGAGGAGGATGGGGGAGGGGGAGAGGGAGGGGGAAGGAGATGGGGAGGGGAAGGGGGATGCTGATGATGATGATGATGATGATGATGATGATGATGATGATGATGATGATGATGATGATGATGATGATGACGACGATGATGATGATGATGCTGATGATGCTGATGATGATGATGATGAGGATGAGGAGGAGGCGGAGGAGTCGGAGGCGGAGGAGGAGGATGAGGCGGAGGATGAGGAGGTTTCTGATGATGAAGACGGGGAGGAGGATGAGGAGGAGGCGGAGGAGGAGGAGGAAGCTGAGGATCATGATAATGAGGATGAGGATGCGTATGAGGAGGACGAGGAGGAGGTGTAGGATGAGGATGAGGATGAGGAGGAGGGGGAGGATGAGGAGGAAGATGATGATGAGGATGATGCTGCTGCTGATGATGATGATGATGAGGAGGAGGAGGAACAGGAGGAGGAGGAGTAGGCGGAGGAAGAGGAGGAGGTTGAGGATACTGCTGCGGAGGAGGATGGGGAGGCGGTGAATTAGGATGATGATGAGGATGATGTGTGAATTTGGCGGCAGCGTTGGCTTTCCTGATAGTTCATCTCGCCCAGCTCTTCAATCTGATGTTTGCCATGAAGAAGTTTTGTATCACAGGCACCAGCGAGCAGCTGGTCACGGCCGCCAAGGCCCCTCTTAGTCAGTATGCTGGGGATTCCGATGTTTCTTTGGTGAATCTGGGGGTGGACTATGGCCATGGGAAACACCGAAAACAGCGACACGCCAAACGGAAAAGGAGGGAGCGACTGCTCGCCCAAAAAGCTCGTCTTTCTAAGATCAAAAGCCTCCGTAACCCGAAGAGATCGAAAGCCAAACTTTGGTTCTGTGAGGTTAAAACAGCTTCGGCGTACGGGGAGGAGGTGGTGGGTTGGAGCCCGAACGAGCTTAGGCGTATACGCTCTCAGGCGGCTGGCTTTCTAGGTCTCACGAGTTGTGGAGCAGACCTCAACCTGGCCTTTGCCCTGGAGCCGAGCAAGGACCCGCGGCGCCAGGCGGGGGCTACTTTAAGGCGGTTTACAAAGGAGTATCGGCAGGCCACGGACCCGAACCTGAAATCAGGAGATTGTCCCAGCGTAGGAGAATTACCCAAGGTTCTTAATGCCACGATCGAGTTCCAGGCGAACAGACCCAAGGGATACTAGGACTACCTTTCTCGGTGACCTATTGGAGATATGCTTCACTGGTTAAAAAGGCGTCTTGGTCGGTTCGGGGTCCTGACATTTTTAACATGAGAAATGAGACGCCGTGTGTTTTGACGGATATCCCTTACGTCCAGGTGGCGAATTATTTTGTGAAGGACCTAGGTAAGGAGTTGGTGACCGATAGCATGAACAAACATCCCGGGTCCTGTGAACATCCCAGGGCCTCTGAAATTCTGGAGCGGGGGCTTTGGTTTGAGCCGCCCAAGGGGATCTGAAACGGGAAGCGGCCCACCAAATACCCGCAGGATCATCAAACAGATTTTCACGATAATCTATGTTACAGCGAGCTATCTACATAGGTGGTGGCATCAGGTGGAGCCTTTTTGCTTTTTTTTGCAGGACTCCAGAACACGGGTCCCTCGACGGAGTGTGGCACCGCGCCTTCGACTGCCCCCACTTCATTGCGAAAGGGGGAGAGTTCATGCCCACGGGGTGGGCGCAGGCAGGCTTGGAGGCGGGTGAACCGGAACCATTTTTCAGCAACCTGTGGCTCCCGAGCCCTGGTCAAATTCAAGGGCACCTCTGGGAAGGCGTGGTGTATAACTGTGGCCCAGAGGGGCCAGCGGAAAAAGAGACTGTTCACGAAGCACGGTTACATTTATTCGGATGGTTCCTGTTTGGAGGGAAGTATGAGATGGTGGCCCGAGCGGGCTGGGCGGTGGTTTCGGTGAACAAGGAGGGGCGTTTGCAGTTTGCAGTATGCGGTAATGTTCCATGCTTCCTGCTTGAGTCAGCGTTTTTTGGCGAGTGCTACGGACTGCTGCAGGCCCTCCTCCACCTCTCTCGGAACCCAGATGACATCCCCATCTCCCCCTACACCACCCACGTGGGTTGTAAGAGCCTGCTGTTTGTCCAG